CTCACACACACACACACACGGTCTAAGAAAACCACTCTACCGAATTTCCCCTCAACCAGACCTTTAAAACGCAATACTAGCCGGGCGTTGGTGGCCCAGCACTCGGGAGGCAGAGGCAGGCGGATCTCTGTGAGTTCGAGGCCAGCCTGGTCTACAAAGTGAGTTCCAGGACAGCCTCCAAAGCCACAGAGAAACCCTGTCTGGAAAAAAAAAAACCAAAAAACAAAAAACAAACACAATACTAGCTCCAGTCATGAACCACCTCCAAGTCTTACGTTTCTTTCCATTAATGTGATCCAGGAAGTTGATGGAGTCTTTCACCACACAATCACAGACATTGCAGTAATAGCTGGCAAATGGGAAGAAAAGGCACGTGGGTCAGGCTGATTTTAACGATCCTACTATTTTCAGTGAAGAAACTCAAATTATCAGTAAACTTGTATGAAGTCTGCTTTGTTACCTGAGATATTAACTGCCCTGGGACTCACTCAGATTTGCAGAGCTCATCCTGCCCCTTAAGTGCTAGAATTGCAGATGTGCATGTGCCACAGGCCTGGCTTTTTTTTTTTAGAAAAGCTCTAACCCTGTAGCTCAAGTAGGATTTAACTTTGCAGCAATCCTGCTTCAGTCTCCAAGTGCAGGTGTTACAGGCATGAGCTACTTCATCTGGCCCCACGCATCTTTTTAGAGGCATTTTCATAAAGCTTTATAAGATGGTCTCCATCCTCCAGGGCAGCCTGACTCTCCTTGTCTTCCCACCCTTTGTAGCTTCCTTCCAACGTGGGCTAAAGTATTCTGTGCGATGAACAGAATGTGTCGAAAGAGGTCATATATCACTTACAAGACTAGATCATCATCATGAGAGTGGTTTCTGCCTTTGTGAGGATGACTTTGTTTGCTTTATTGTGAACAATCTTACAACAGGTCCACGGGATTAACTTCAGCCTCCAAACTATAGGCATGTGAAACCCTGGAAGAAGACCTTCTAACTTTATTTAAGTCCCAGTGAATGCAAACTTAGCCAATCCCACGACTGCAGCTTCATTGGAGACTCTGATTCACAACCTCCAATGTAACCAATACCCCTCAATTCCATGCCCATGAAACTATGAGCTATTATTATTATTTTATTATCCTTAATATTTAACTTGCTAATTTATACAGTAAAGACATCAAAACAGTGGGTTTACTAAAAAATCTATGGAAGTATAGCTAACTACTAGCTGCATGATTCTCCTGATATAAATTCTAACTTGACAGTCTTGAAGGAATGGTGACAAAAGGCTGACAAACTGTGGAACTCTTGGGCACCGTCTTGGTATATAATAACTACAGCGAACAGCTCCACCTACAACACCCCAGTCATGACAGACTATATAACCCTTCGAAGATATCAACACAGTAGTACACTACTGATAGGAAGCAGCCCACAGAACAACACTCCTAGGAATTGAGAATTCAGGGGGCAAAGAAAAACAGTTATGGCCTAAGGTTGCCATCCCTGGCCTGAGATTCTCATCAACACATCCTAAAACCAATATAAATAGTTTATTAGCTAGCCTTGGTATTAGAGAAGGACAAAAAGCTACTCACCCTCCCATTTCAGACTGTGGGGTCGTCTTGGTAATGACAATTGTCTTCCCAAGTTTGGACTCCAAGTCCACCTTGTAATCCCTGTGCCGAAGAAGCTCCCGCTTAACGGGCTGCACTGGTTTTCCTGAAACAGAATGAGAAAGAGGGTTCCTTCAGTATTAGCTTCTTTCTTATTTTTGTTTGTTTTTAAGGCAGGGTTTCTCTGTGTAGCGTTTTGCTGTACTAGAACTCATTCTGTAGACCAGGCTGGCTTCAAAGTTACCTGCCTCCACCTCCTGAGTATGCATATTAAACGTGAGTATCACAGTCTCTTCTTAGCCAGAAAAGGAAAGAAATGTATGAATCCCAAAATTCAGATGACTGTTCTCATTCTTTCTTTAGATTCCTCAAAGAAGGGACACAACAGATACTTTATGGAGCAGTTAAAAGAGGTCAGAAAAAAACTGTAACTGGCCTGGAACCCATTATGAAGACCACACTGGCCACAGGCTTGTGACGGTAATTCTAATTTAAGAGCTTTTTTCTCAACTTTAAAGCCAGCAAACTTAAACGGCGCTTCCTATGCGTTGTCCAACTCAACTGAGGAGTTCTGAACTTTTGATAGAAGCAAACCTTTCATAAGAGGGTAACTCACTTTCGGTAGCATAATGCTCAATGCTTTAATTATCAACGAGGCTACATCTGGAATTCACTAAACCCAAGCAGCTGGGCACCCCTGTTTGCAGTTTGCTTTTTATTTTTGTTGGGGGGGGGTGGATCATTTAAGATGGGAACCCCCCCGAACACGGACCACACCCTGGGGCAGTTTTTGTGCCTGCTTGTCCGTGCACACTAGCTGGAAACTGCCCCGCTGCCGGGGCATTTCTTCTCGAGCCCCCGCACGCCCTCACGCCCTCAGCCCTCCACGGAGAGCACCCACCATCCTTCTTTTCTCTCTCTTCTGTGAGTCTCTTCTCCGCAAGCTTCTCGTATTCATCTTTGTCCCACTTTCGGCGAAAGTCCAAGTTTTTCGTCTGTGGGGGGAAAAAGTGCTCAGGATCCGTCGCGGTGCCTGTCCCCCGGGAGGAGCCGAGGGGACCGCCCAACGGCCGCCCAGACGGCCCGGCACCTTCCGAGAGAGAAGTCCCTCTGAGCGCCCGGGTGGGTCTGGGACACCAGCACCCCGACGCGCGAGCCCTCCGGGATTCCACCGTCCCTGCGCCAGGCCTCGCGGGGCGTTCTCGAACCTTGACCCTGAGGTCACGAAGAGGTGGCGGGAAGTCGGCCGAGGACTCACAAGTCTGTGTCTAGTTAGCTCTGAAAAACCACCCCGGACCCCTCAGACCTCCTGACACCAGCACCTACCCCGCTGCCCGACGCCATCTTCACAGCCAAGTGAATGGAAAGCCGCAAAATGCCGTAAAATGCTCCCGGAAGCCATAAGGCAACATCCCGCTCCAATAAGATTCGAGCCTCGCGTTCTAACTGCGCTAAGGACTGGAGCGATCCTGGGGCCGTCCTGTTAGCCCCGCCCTCTGCTCCAAGGAGACGGCGCAAGCGCAAGAGGAGCGTGAAGCAACACGGAAGTAAGGGCACCGGCCAACGTTTTTCTCCCACTGTCTTTCAAAACAAGCCTTGGAAGGATAGTAGCTCACCTCTTCCATTTCTCAAAGCGTTGGAGGCTCGGAAACAGTGCCCCATGACCTGAACAACTTTACCTGCATCTCCAGGGTTTCTAAACATTTTTGTTTTTTAAAGACAGGTTCTCTGGTAGCCCAGACTGAACTCTTGATTGGCTATGGAGGGGAGGCTAGTCTAGCGTTTCTGGTTCTCCTGCCTGGTTTCCCAAGTGCTGGGTTTACAGACACGTGCCGCCGTGCCCTATTCACGTGGTGCTGGGGTAGACCCAGGGCTTCGTTCATGCTGTCAAGCACTCCACCAATTGAGCTACACTCGCTGACTAATAAATCGTATTTTAAAAGCTAAAACGCTATCGGTGGCCCTAGATATCCCATTCACCAGCATGTACTATGAGTGAGTCTCTAAATTATGCACAAAAGACATGCACTTTTACATTTGGGTTCTTTTCCCTTGAGACAATGATGCTTCTTCTCTTTGGGCACACCCATTTCCATGTCTGGAGAACATTTAAACTCATCCAATTTATAAAGTACAATAATCTTGAAATTCATCAGCCAGCAGCCCCAGAATGAAGCACTCCGTACTGACGAGTTTGTGGGAGAGGGTAGTGTCTCAGAAATAGTCTCGTGTATCCAGACTATGACACAAAGGATGACTGAACTTCTGAACCTCTTGCCTCCACGTTAGAAGTGCTAGGATTATAGGTGTGGTATGTTTTTAGACAAGATCTATTTGGCACTGTCTGCCCTGAAACTCTCTGTGTAGTTTCCTTGGCGTAAGAGTCACAAGATTCTGCCCATTTGTGTTCCCGATAAAGAAAAACCCTCTTTGAGGTTGCTTTCCCTCTTCATCTATCCACCCAGCCTCTTTCTGAACATCATCCCTTTTCCTGTGTTCTGCTTTTGTTTTAATCTTTACTCTTGTTCAGCTGACCTCAAACTCAAAGAGATTCTACTGCCTCTGCCCACCACTCCACTGCTGGGATTAAACATGTGTTCCATCAAGGGGAGGTTTTGTTGTTTTTGAAAAGGGGTCTCATGTAAACCCAAGGCTGAATTTATTTTTTATTTGTTGATTTATGTATTTTTTGGTTTTGCTTTGTAGCTCTGGCAGTCCTGGAACTTGCTCTGTAGACCAAGCTGGCCCCGAACTCACAGATATCCACCTGCCTCTGCCTCCAAGTGCTGAAATTACAGATGTACACCACCACTTAATTATATTTTTAGACAGGGTTTCACTATGTAGCCATGGCTGGCATACAACTCATAAACAATTGGCCTGTCTCTACTTCACTTGTGCTAGGATTAAAAATCCTGTGCCACTTTGCCTGGCCCCAAAGCTGACTTTGAACATCTCATCCTCCTGTGCTAGATGGGTGTTCTATCAAGAGAGCTATATTCCTAGTTGGAAGTTGATGTTTTGGTGGGGTTTTGTTTCTTACATTTCATTTGGCGTATAAGCCTACATATGTGCCTCACATGTCACAGCCAAGTGTGTAGACCAGAGGACAACCCAAGAGAATCTGCTCTCCCACCATGTGGGTCCTAGGAATTAAACTCAGGTCATAGTCCTCACCTACAGAACCAACTCACCTGCCCTAATGTTGACTGCACCTGCAAGTTAGTGGGAGAGACAAGAGAAGGAATTCTAGCCATTCCCTTCACTGAATACAGAAGCATCGTCCTAGGAAGGATACCTGTAGCTCACAGAACTCTCCAGTATATATTCAAGCATTTTCTAAGGCCTACACAAATTAACCCTTCGGTAACAAATTACTCAAAGTAGACTTACTTTTAAAAATTGTTTTATTCTTAATTGTGTGTGGGTCTGTGTGTATGTGCACATTAAGTGCAGGTATCTATGGAGCTGAGGAGAGGGCCTCAGAGTCCCTGGAAGTGGAATCACATGCAGCTATAATCACCCTGGTGTGGATGTTGGGAACTGAACTCTCCAGCCCATTTGTACGTCTTTGAAGTATGACACAGTATATTGCACTCTAGAACAACCTCCTGGGCAGGTTATGGTACAACCAAGAGAAGTTACTGTGGCAAAGGGAATGGTGTCCAAAAATCTCAAAATATCAGATCATTCACTTATCATCTATTAAGCTCAATGTCCAAAATTATTAAGCAGCCCCTCCCTTCTACTGTTAGCTGGAAGAACCAACAGACGCACTCCTGGGTCCTTGGACATCATGTCTGTTCACTGTACATTCTTGCTCTCTTTTTAATACTCCACGGACAAACCATAGTCTGATGTAGATAAATCTGGTTCCCATACTACAGTTAAGTACACATTTAGCCTCTCATTTCAGTGGTTCAGGGTCTTGCTCACAGCAACCATCTTAAAATCCCTCGACAGAGCTCAGAGGCACTTCAGACCTGCCTTTGCAGCTAGAGTAGGCCTCTTGTGCAGGCCAGCCATCTTCGCTCTAGCAGAGTAGCGCTAATCCTTAGGATTCTGTATCCAGGATGGAAGGAAGCAGAAGGCACTTGTACAATATTCATGCTGGCCAGCTGTCGTAACATCCATCAGAACTTGGTCCTAGATGAAAACTCTTCTTCTAAGGGCAGCAGACAGAAGCCAAGCAACAATCAAGACAGTCGCTTCTGAATTTCAGCCACAAGACTTTCTCGGTTAATGATCACCTAAAACACAAGAGAATCTTTGTGTGACAAACTAGATAATGGTACTAACGTCTTAGCCAGTTTTCCAAATACACTTCACTCTGCATGCATTCTCACTGTTCACACCTGAGACCCATTTGGTGGAGGAGAGAAGTGGTGCCTGCAAGGTGACATATACACACATGCATGGGATCTATGTCTACAAGGTGACATATACACACATGCTCGGGATCTATGTCTACAAAGTGACATATACACACATGCTCGGGATCTATGTCTACAAAGTGACATATACACACATGCATGGGATCTATGTGCACAGATACACATACACACAAATAAATGCAATTTAAAAGAAAAAGGTTTTAAATTATTTCCTCAAAGAACACATCTCTGAAAAGGATCTAGGATCAGCTGGGTGGTGGTGGTGGTGGTGGTGGTGGTGGTGGTGGCGGCGGTGGCAGCGGCGCAGGCGGCCAGTGGTGGCACACACCTTTAACCCCAGTACTGAGGAGGCAGAGGCAGGTGGATCTCCCAGTTCAAGGCCAGCCTGTCTTCAGGACAGTCAGAGCTACACAGAGAAATCTTGTCTAAAAAACAGGAATCTGGGATCTAGGCATGACAATATATGCCTGTTGCCACAGCACTTGAGAGGTTGAAGCAGGAAGGCCAAGGGTTCAAGGAGAGCCTGGGTGACAGTCCCAGGCTGATCTGAGCTACACAGTGAGAGCCTGTTTTTAAAGGGTGGGGTGGAGCATTGGAACTCTGGGTTTCTGCAAGCTCCCACTCACTTCTTCTCTGCTGGCCACCGAGCGGAGCTTGATGACGCCTTCTCTCTGTTCTTGCTCACCAATGATGACCATCAGAGGAATGTCTGTTTTCTCACAGTAATGCAGCTGGGTTAACAGCTTAGGATTGTTCTTATACAGCATCTCTGCCTGAAAAGGATAAAATGAGAGTCGGGGACTTAAACTGATTGTATATACATTTCCAAGGGAGCCAGAAATAAGTAGCTAGCCCTCTAGTGGTAAGCTAAAAAAGTACCAAGTACCACTGTAGACACAAGGTAGGAACAGCCATGATCATTGTGCCCACATATACAGTCTGACACCAACGCCACCATACCTTGATCCCAGCATCCCAAAGCTCTGCGATTAGCTTCAACCGTTCTCGGAGAAAGTTCTGCTGGGGTGTGGCCACAAACACTTGGGTCTCTGTGGTTCGAACCTTCTCACCAGAAGCCTGATAAAACAGAGAAGAAACTAAAACTATAGCCTAGGGTAGCTCTCGCAGCTGTAATGCTAGCAGGAGAGCTAGGGCAGGAAGACTCTAAGTTCAAGGCCCACCTGAGCTCAGAAAGAAATCCCACTTCAGAAAGCTCTTTTATAAGAAAGGGGGTGGGGGAGCAAAGAGGGAGGGAAAGACTGCAGAGATGGCTTGGCAGTTAAGAATACTTGTTCTTTCAGAGGGACAAGTTCAGTTCTCAGCACTAACATGGTGGCTCACAACCACCCATAGCTCTGACCATCCATTCTGACCTCCAATGGAAACAGGCATGCACATACATCCAGGCTAAATACTCATACACATAAAAAGATAGAATCAATCTTAAAAGAAAGGGGGAGAGGAAGGAAGGAAGACATTTCCTTTGCACCATTAATCAATTCCAAAAAGCAAAAGGATCATTAAAAAAAAGAGAGTTCAATGCACCTCCAGAAACTATTAACTTTCGAGGTCACTTCACCTCCACCTAGGACCTACCTTCATCTTCTGCTCCACAAGACAGAAGATTCTCTCTACTCCAATGCTCAACCCCACACAGGGCACCCTGTGGCCCTTGGGATCAAACTGGGCTACCAGCCCGTCATAGCGTCCACCAGCGGCCACACTACCCACATTCAGAGCCTCCTTTCCAGCCTGACCTGGAGACTGCAGTAGTACTGCTTCATAGATCACTCCAGTATAATAGTCCAGGCCCCGGGCCAGACTTAAGTCAAAGGAGATCTGTAACGGAAAAGCTACAGTCAGTCTCAGACTAGACTCTGAGAACCTAAGAGCTCAACAGTAGGTCCAATCCCAGCTCTGCCTACCTTCTCAGCAATTCCAAATAAAGTCAGGTATTCAAAGAGCAGCTTCAGGTCCCCTAAGCCCTGCAGGGCCAGCTGGCTTTGGGACAGTCTAGGATCCTTGGACAATTCCTCTATCAAGGATATCCCCCCTGGGAAGAAAAGTCAGGTAAAGTCTATGCTGTTTACCCAGGTGTGTTTCATCCGAATTTGTCTAGGTTTTTGTTGTTGTTGTTTTGTTTGGTTGTTTGGTTTTCCTTTTGGTTTTAGATAGGGTCTCTGTACATAGTCCTAGCTATCCTGGAATTCACAATGTAGACCAGGCTGGCCTCGAACACAGAGATCCAACTGCCCTTGCCTCCTGATTTCTGGAGTTAAAAATGTGCCACCAGAGCCAGCTTGAATTTATCTGCTGTTGTCCATCTTCCTCTCTGCTTCTGTCTACCCAGAAGACACAAAGCAGTTACAATACATAAGGGGAACTTTATCCTGGCCAGACTCTGGAGCTGTGAAGAGGCAGAAGCTGGACACGTGGCCCCAGCCTGAAGACCCTGGTTCTTACTTACCATGGCACTGGGCATACTCCCCAATTCCATCAGCCACCTCGGGAGCCAGGCCTTTCTCTGCCACCATCTCATGTCTCACATCTTCCCAAGACATCTGCATCAAGACCAAACATGAGCTCAAACCCCAACTCCTCGATGAAGCAGGACAGCTCATTTTCATTTGGTATAGATTTCTTAAGAAACTAACAGTAAATTCAGCAATTTAAGAAGCCTAGGCACAATCCCCACTGTATAGCATAACTCAGACTTTGTTTAAAAATGTCTCCTTAACCCTTCCTTTCCCATAAATAGCTACCTGCAGCCACGGTCTCCTTATTCCCTAACGACATGGATTAGAGGTAGGGCAGAAACCCAGACAGGGTCTGTTTAAAGTATGTTTTCTTTGTTACCTTATCTAGTTTGTCCATTGAGGAGCAGATGGTACGGAACCTGTCCTCAGGAACACCACAGACAGCAAAAATCCCATCTACAATCCGACGGTCATTTACCTGTAAATGCAATGGAATTAACCTGTGTCCTGTCAATCAGTGCCCTTTTCCTCAAAACAATGACTATCTCTAAATCTCTTCACTCATAAAAGCAATACAAAGACAATTTCACAGGCCCAATCCAAACTTCTCCCTCACTATGTATACCAGTCTGGCCTCACCTTAATGAGAAAGTCCCCCAGTTGCAATCCACTTAGGATTTCACACATGATCTTCAGACATTCTGCATCAGGGATCATAGGGTCAAATTCACCAGCAATGTCAAAATCCTACAGGAAAATAGAAAGAAAGCCAGGCATAGTAGCACACGCCTTCAATGCCAGCACTTGGGAGGCAGAGGCAGATGAATCTCTCAGTGAGTTCAAAACTAGTCTGGTCAGTTCCAAGACAGCCGGGCATACACAGATGTCTCAAACACCTGTCTCAACAAAACAACAAAAACAGAAAGGGAGAAAAACAAACCTCCCACTCATCAGTTAATCCCAACTTAACTATCTCTGAACTAGTATGTCCCCGTCAGGCCACTCACACACTGGCAGAACTCCCGGTAGCGGCCCTGCACTAAGGCTGGGCTCTCTCGACGCCACACCTTTCCAACTTGGTATCGCTTCATCTTCTTCAGTTTATTCATGGCCAGATAGCGAGCAAAAGGGACCTTATGTAAACAGGTTGAGGAAGAAAGATAATATGCTCAATGCTTACACCCACCATTCAGACAGGAGGGAAAAATGAGTTCCTAGGAATCATCTTTATCCTACAGGATGAGAACATGGACCTTTCCAGGCTTGTTTCCCATGGTCTCTGAAGCCTAGCAGTGGTGTTGATGAAGGCATTTCACTCACTGAAAGTTGACTATCACTCACTGAAAGTTGACTAGAAAAAGAGGCAGGGATGGAAATGACCTAAGAAACTTGGGTCTGGTCCATTTCTTCCTGTTCAGAGCTGTCAAGCTGTCAAGCTTGAGAACAAAACTTGCCTACAACTTAAAATCCTGTTTCTGAAGGCACAGGTCAAAGACCACATGCATATTTTCCAGAATTCTGTCTAGAGCAGCAGTTCTCAACCTTCCTAATGCTGCAACCCTTCAATACAGTTCCTTGTGTTGTGGTGAGCCCCAAACATAAAATTAATTTTGTTGCTACTTCATAGCTGTAATTTTGCTACTGTTATAATAAATTGCACTGTAAACATCTGATATTCAACCTATGGGGTCACAACTCACAGGCTGAGAACCTCTGGGTTAGTACTTGCAAGATGGTGTGGTGGGGGCAGGGGCATGCTGCACACGTGTGGCAGTCTGAGTTCTATCCCCAGAATACATATTAGGAGAGAACTGGCTCCACAAAGTCGTCCTCTGATCTGCACACACATGTCCACACGAACACCGTCTACACACACATACGCCATAATCAATTTCCTTTCACATGCACTCCAGTTACAGTATTTAGGGATCTCTGGAGCTAGGGTCAATAATCTCTGTTCCTGCAAACTTCCTGGAAGGAGTCTCCATGTGCACAGAAGTTAAATAGCAGGACCTTTAGGTTAGGCTCTGGTGGCAGACTGGTCTCCTAGGAGAAACCGGAAATGAAAGGAGCCATCAAAATCCCTCTACTCCCGGATCTTTGTGCGTTCGAGGCCAGGCTGGACCGATAGCCTCTGAAACAATACAGAGAAACCCTGTCTCGTAAAAACCAAAAAAAAAAAAAATCCCTCTACTCCCTTCTGCCAGCCAGAGTCCTCTGGATTCGAGTAGAAAACAGGTTGGGCTTCAGCACTCGGAAGGATACAGTAAGGTCATATCGAAGAGACAACAACTCTCCACCTTGATCCTTCAAATCGTACATGAGGCCGAAGGTGTCCTCATACTTTTCAGTGAGCGTTTCCTGCAAGTGTCAGACAGAATGAGCTGCCATTCAGTGACTGGCTAGGGAGCACAGATGAAGCCAGTAGGAATGGGAAACCTTCTGCTCTTACTGTTAGCTCAAATGCTGGCGTGTCCAACCCCCTTGCCCCGTGACGTTTAAAGCAGCCGATTATCTTCTCAAGAATTTTCTCCCTCACAACCATCTGCTGAGGACTTAAATCCCTGGTGCCCTGGAAAATGAAAGCAGTCAAAGTAAAAATCAAGACCATTTAAGGGCAAAGGTCAAATCATGTCCATAATCTAAGATTTGAAATTAACTTGAGCCCCACCTAGAATTTCAAGAACAGTAAAACACCTGCCCCCCCCCCAAAAAAAAGATTTAGGTCAGATGGGAGAGGTAAGGAGAGCTGGCTTGCCTTCCACAGCACTCTGACAGACAGGTAGGCAAAGGGCGTTACCTTTGGAACCTTAATGATAAAATTTGGCTTCTCTTGATGTGGTTTCAGTTGGGATGTTAACACTGCCTGTGCAGTCTGGAAGAAAAAGGAATGCGAGATGTGCCTTCTCAGGATACTGGCTGAGACCTGTGACTCTTTCGGTCTGTGGACTATGAGTACCATTTTGTCTATCCTGATCTCCTTCCTCCCTCAGTAATCCATGCTGAATTTCCAACTCCACCTGTAACACATAACAAGTTCGGTTTCTACACAGCTTCTTCACTGTTTGGAGTTTTTAAATGCCTGAAAAAGTTGAAACCCCCTGAGAATAATAAAAACACAGAACCCACAGCTGCCACCCCTGAACTTCTACAAGTAGGGATTAGAACTCCAGTTCTCAGCTAGCCTTGGTTGCACACACATGTAATCCCAGCACTTGGGAGACAGAAGCAGGAGGCTCTCTGTGAGTTTGAGGCCAGCCTGGTCTACAGAGTGAATCCCAGGAGAGCTGGAGCTACATATAGGGGAAAAAAAAAAAAAAAAGGTGGTACATGCCTTTACACCCAGCAGTCGGGAGGCAGAGACAGGCAGATCACTACACGGTCAAGGCCAACCTGGTCTATACAGTGAGCTCCAGGCCAACCTAGGCTACATAGTGAGACCCTGTCTCAAAAACAAAGTCATTTGTCAGACCTGGAGACACAAAGACAGAACCAACCCAAGAAAAAGGTACAAGCCTGGGCCAAGTAGATGGCTCAGTAGGTATCCACCAAACCTGCCCACCAGAGTTAGATCCCTGGGACCCAATCACATGGCTGAAGGAGAAAACTGATTCCCACAAGTTGTCCCTCTCATGTACTTACACTCGGAATGATAGGATAAGTTTTCTGATTGGAAAAAGTAAAACAGACTAGCAAAATGCTGTGACTTACAATGAATAAAGGATCTGAACCCTGTTGAGCATGATGGTAAAAGGCGTTTGCTTTCAGAGAAAGGCGACAGCCACTGACTCTAAGTGGCTAGAGGGTAATAGTGCGCAACACTTACCATGACCACCTAAATTCAATCCCCAAACCCCACAGGTGAAGGAAAGAGCAGAGCTGTGCCATGGCACTCCAACGCCCACACACATTAACTAATAGATAAACGTACTTTAAAAAAAATCAGGCTTGAAGACCCGAAGTTTACACGCCCTTCCAGAAACACAAATGGTGGTAATTCCATACTCTGAAGAGTCCCTAAAGAGAAGTATGAGTTCGAGTGCACAACCCCTTATTCTAACTCCAAAATTCAACTGTCGCTGAAAATATTCCTCTGAGATTCATTTTAGGGTAAATTTGTTTGATGTGCATGAACTCAGTTTATTTATGGCTTGAGAGACTATCTATACAGATCTGGCTCAAATTCTAACATGCTCAAGAATCTCAGATGACTGAGAGTAAACCTCATTATAATATTTAGCTGCTATGGAACTAAAGTCATTTAACCCTGTGATCTCCGCTTACTCAACTGTAAAATGGAGATAAAACCCGCAAACCCCTGAGAGCGCTCCAATGACAAAATGACGAAAGCATCCAAAACCCTTAGTTCGGTGCAGGCACAGAGCGGCTAATCAATAAAAACCAACTTCAGGGCTGGAGACGCGGATCTTGTAGAGGTCACCAGCAGCCACTGGCTGGCTCACCATCCGTTAACTCCGGGAGACCCGAGGCCACCTCTGGTCCCTGCCGACACCAGGCGCGTACTCAGGGCACGCACGCGCGTACGCAAAGACAGACCTTTAAAAAGCAAACACCAACTGCAATAACAGCACAGTACAGGCTGCAGATCTCGGTGTTCGGGATGGGGAGTCGGCTCAGGGCGGCTCACCTGGCTGTGAAAGCCTACCGCCCCGGAGCGCGCCGCGCGCGGAGGGCGCCGGGGCTGGCGGAGCAGCGCGGCCCAGCAGCGCAGGGCCCCCCCCAGGCCGGACATCGCGCAGCCGGACGCCGGGCTCCGCAGCGCCCGGGGACCAGGCCAGCCCAACCTCAGAAAGGCGACGGAGAGCGGAAGAGCCAGCACCCGCTCCGGGAGACGCCCGCGGTCCGAGCCGGTCCGGGTGGTGGGGGGCGTGGGGCGTGGAAATGAACTCCAAATGTCTCACGCTCCCCGAACCGGAAATGTTTTCGCCCTCGCCGGAGACGTTCTAGGCACGACAGCCGGCGACTCGGTAGCCGGAAGTCATCCAACGTCGGCTGGGTCCACCGAGGCGGGGGTAAGCGGCAGGCGGTTCAGTCTGGCAGCCGGGATGGCCGACCGCGCTGCGCTGGAGGAGTTGGTGCGACTCCAGGGAGAGCATGTGAGGGGCCTCAAGCAGCAGCAAGCCCCCGCCGAGCAGGTGAGGCTCACATGGAAGGAGAGGAGCCTGACACGGCGGGAGGCACAGACAGGGTGGCCCGGCTGGGGACAGGCGTGCGAGGGAGAAGGCAGCCAGGGCGGGTCCCGAGAGAAGCCAGGCTAGACCTCAGAGGTAGGGGTCTCGAGTGCACCGGGAGGGAGGGAAGGGAGTGACGAATGGGCAACCCGGCAGCGCTCTTCCCTCCACAGATCGAGGAGGAGGTGACGAAACTCCTAAAACTGAAGGCGCAGCTGGGTCACGATGAAGGCAAACAGAAGTTTGTGCTCAAAACCCCCAAGGTAAACTCTTCCTGTGAGAGGCCTCAGAGGGAGGTCCTGCTCACAACCCGAAATGCTGCAAAGGAGTCAGTAGTTGGTGTAAGCACTGGGCTGGATTGCTGTCAACCTGAGTCATTCAGTGATGACAGACACAGAGCTGCTCAGGGGAGTCGGGCTGCTGACTGCTTCTCATTACATACTCATTACATAGCCATTGAGTAGGTCTACGTGTGCGGTATTGTACACTGAACATACCATACTGCATGCCTGTCTTTGTGACGCTTGCAGTCCGCTGAGACACATGTGTAAGATTTACTCCACACAGGGTTATGCTGCTACAAAATATGACTGTTGATATGAAGAAAGTTACGACTGGAGAGGCGGCTCAGCAGTTAAGGGCATATAGCGAATCCTAGTTTGAGTCCCTGCACCAGGTGACTCACAATTGTCTGTAGCTCCAGCTCCAGGGGGACCCGGACACTGCACCCACACGTTCACATAATCATGCATAGACACACATACACACACATGTCTACAAATAATGAATAGACTTTAAAAAAGAAAGTTACAGAGGCGCTCTGAGAAAAATGAGGGGTAACTGGGGAGTCTAAGAAGCCACACTAAGGAGGTGATCTACTGATGGGCCTCCCAAGTGGGTAGAGCAAGCCAGGGAAAGACTTAGGATGATAGGCTCAGTAGGGTATGGAAACCCTGAAGCAGAAAAGAGCTTTGATACTTCCTAGGAACCATACGACCTGCACAAATAGAACCAAATAAGGTCAGATGCACAGCTCAGCCTCGGCTTCAGTTCTGATGCTGTTCTGTAAGTTCTATAAACAGAACCCGTACCTTCATTGGTTTCCCTTGGCGCTTCCTACATGGCTCTGTCATTGCACTGACTTTTAATTTTCACTTTGTGTGTGTGTGTGTGTGTGTGTGCGCGCGAGTATGGATACCTGCAGAGGCCAGGAGAGGATGTCAGATTCCCTGGAGCTGGAGTTAGAGGCAGCTGTGAGCCATAGTACTGAAAATTGAGCTAACGTCCTCTGGAAGAGCATTGAGTGTGCTTACCTGCTAAGCCATCACTCCTGCTCCCTGCAACAACTTTTTAGTGGTTATTCATGAAGCTTATTAGCAGAAGCTAAGACTGAGTGCCTGGAAATAAACATATATCTAATGAATATATTTTAAGTTGATTTCCAAAGAAGAGAGAAGCCATGTGTGGTGGTGCACAATGGTGCACATTCTTTAATCCCAGAACCCAGTGAACGGAGACAGGCAGATCTCTGTGAGTTTAGTGATGTTAAGACAGATAACCGAGTTTAAGTGAAGAAGGGCTGATCTATCACAAATTCCCCATTTTCTATTTATTCATTATTTTATTGAGACAGGGCATCTCTACGTACCTCTGGTTGTGTGTCCTTGTATGAGGGGCAGCTGGAGTTACAGGCAGTTATAAACTGCCCAGCCTAGGTGCTAGGAACCGAAGTCAGGACAGACTGTCGTACAAGTTTCAGGTCAGTGAGGACTACCTGGTAAGATAATAAGACCTTGTGTCCAGAAGGCAGAGGAGGGGTGGAGATGACTAGTATGATTAATTCTTCTGTGTTGAGGTTAATTTTTTAAGCCAGATTCATTAAGCTGTGCCTTTCTATATATTTTTTTAAAAAAAGCAAAACAAAAAACCAAGTCTGGCCAGCCTCGGACTTTCTATATAGTAGATGTTAGTTTTGAAAATCTGATCCTCAGGTCTCCACCTAACAAGTGCTGGAATTACAGGCGTGTTCCACCATACACATCCCACACAATTCTTTTTCAAAGGTTGAAGAGAAGTTTAAAATCTCAAATAAATGGGGCCTGGAGAGATGGCTCAGTATTAAGGGTGCCTGGTGGTCATCTAGAAAACCCGAGTTAGGTTCTCAGCACCCACATATAGCAGTTCACACTTCCTGTAATTCCAGCAGGCCTCCAAGGACACCCACATACATGGCAGTAAAGAAATAATGATCAGGGGCTGGAGAGATGGCTCAGTGGTTAAGAGCACCGACTGCTCTTCCAGAGGTCCTGAGTTCAATTCCCAGCAACCACATGGTGGCTCACAACCATCCATAATGAAATCTGGTGCCCTCTTCTGGCATACATGCAGGCAGAACACTGTATACATGATAAATAAATAAATCTTTAAAAAAAAAAAAAGAAATAATGATCAATAATTGCTCAGGCTGCTGGGCGGTGGTGGCCCACGCCTTTAAAATCCTAGCACTCGGGAGGCAGAGGCAGGCAGATCTCTGTGAGTTCTTGTTAGGGGAATTTGAGTATTTTAGGCTTTCAGACTCAGGTGTGGCTATGCACAGAGAACAGGTTAAATGACATATCATTGGTACTGTTGACTGAGTCCAGATGTGAAAAGCTGTTTAGGACAAGTTATCCAGTTTTTTTTCAACAAATAAATAACATAGAGGAACAGGAATGAGTGTGGCTCATTGTTATAAGGCCTGGGGTCTAAACCAGACGCCACAAAAGAAGAAAAAAAGGAAGAATGAGAAAGCTATTGTAGATTAAATGGGCATGTCCTCTAAATATGATATGTTTAGAGTATGGTTAAGATAATCATGAAAAGATATTAGTGAGATAGTTGGGGAAAGTTGAACACACTTGGTATTGCATAGTATTAAGCGATTATTGTTAGTCTGTGGATGCCAAAATCTACAGCTGAATTGTCCCTTTTAGAAAATGGTATAGTATTTGCATATAACTTATACAATTCTCTCATGTACTTTAAAGTGATCTCTAGGTTACTAACAGCCAATATAATGTAAGTAGTTATTGTTCAAAGATAATGATGTGGAAAAAACTGTATTATTTAATACAGGCAGAACTTTCTTTTAACCCCACGTGTTTCCAGTGCAGTTTGTTGACTCTGTGGACAAGGCACCTGCAGACACTGAAAACCAGCTGTGTGCCACACTCCGTGCACTCCTATCAAAGGAAGAAAGATGGGGCTGAGGGTGACTTAGTGCATTGCTCTTGGAAGGGTGACTTAGTGGCATTGCTCTTGGAAGGGTGACTTAGTGTATTGCTCTTGGAAGGGTGACTTAGTGGCATTGCTCTTGGAAGGGTGACTTAGTGCATTGCTCTTGGAAGGGTGACTTAGTGGCATTGCTCTTGGAAGGGTGACTTAGTGGCATTGCTCTTGGAAGGGTGACTTAGTGGCATTGCTCTTGGAAGGGTGACTTAGTGGCATTGCTCTTGGAAGGGTGACTTAGTGGCATTGCTCTTGGAAGGGTGACTTAGTGGCATTGCTCTTGAAAGGGTGACTTAGTGGCATTGCTCTTGGAAGGGTGACTTAGTGCATTGCTCTTGGAAGGGCTCCAGGTTGGACTCCCAGCATACAAGCTGTGGTAATCCAGTTCCAAGGGATTCAACACCATCTTCTGACTTTGGTGGGCACCAGACATACACATGATACACAGACATACATGTAGGCAAAGCACCCATACAACATTAAATAAGATAAATCTTTTTTTTTTTAAAGATTGAACTTAAGAATATTTGGGGGACGGTGTCCCTGGAGAAATGACTCAGTGGTTAAGAGCACTTGCTGGAGGTTTACAACCATTTGTAACTCCTATCCTAGAGCATCAGATGCTCTTTTCTGACTTCCATGGGCACCAGGTATGCACATGGTACAAACAGATACTTGCAGGCAAAACACTAATACACATAAATCTAAAAAAAATTATAAAGACTATTCTTTATAGTTAAAATTATTTTATTGAATTTGAAAACTAGTAGGAAACAAGTATATATATAAAACATTTCTGCTACAAAGCAGACATCTGATGGCTTTTCAGAGTTGACTGTCTGTCAGACATTTTGGTAATAATAGAAGAAGTGGGCTTTGCCACAAAAGGAAATCTGAAAGTCTTCTGGTACTAATATGTTGCTAATGATGGAACTCAAGCATTCGTATAAAAATTTTGGAATCCTTATAAATCTTTTACCCTGAGTTTGACAACTTCTCAATATTTACATTTTCCTGGTGAGATATGTGGTGGTGGTAATAAATTATTTTCTTAGTATTATAAGATATGTCAGTATTATGAAGATCTCTGTAACTTACCAGTAAGCCTGTGTTTTCTAGATGACCAGTGTAGATGTCATAAAACCATATATGAGCAAAAGATCACTCAACGTATAAGATACAATAGTAGATTTTTGTTTTGTTTTGTTTTGTTTTGTTTTGCTTTTCGAGACAGGGTTTCTCAACAGCGCTGGCTGTTCTAGAATTCATTTTGTAAGCCAAGCTGACCTAGAACTCACAGATCTGCCCGCCTCTGCCTTTGTTGGGATTAAAGGTGTACACCACCACTGCCTGGCTCAATGGTAGATTTTAATGTATAATTTGCAGCATGAAATATATTATTGTATAATCAGCATTACTCATCTATTTTTCTTCTTCCAGATAGGGCCTCAGTCTGTGGCCTAGGCTGG